CAATGGCAGACACGTGCTGGGCTGATAACCCTGGTGGCCACCTACGGGTTTTGAGGATCCCACCTGGGATTTGAGTGCAAAATGCCAGTTTTAAAACACACCAGAGGTGGCACAGCCCTTCTCAGACCCTGACACAGGCCATGTGTCTACACTGGAGTCACAGACCTGTCACTTGCCCTCCCCTTGCCCATGCTCTTACCAGCTCTTCGGGATGTAACCAAAACCACCACCTTAAGGACATGCACAGTATTTTGTGATGTTTCACTTAATGTTTTGCTGTCACTAGCAACACTGATATGAAAAAAATAATAATGAAACTTAGCAATTATATAGCTCTTTATATTTTGAAATCTCTGTACAAACATTACTTAAACAAAGCAAGGTAGTATGCAAAACAGTCATTGCTTAAAATAATCGACCAAGGGGTTGTGCTTCAGCAGTGACACCGGGAAAAGGACAAGAATGCTGGAAAGAAAGCAACAAACCAGAGGTATAACGAGGTCTCCTCTTCAAATTTGGGATTATGAAAGTGCCAAGGACAGTATCAGAGTGTTCTTTAATAACCTTACACCAGGCAGGTAAAACCCATGTATTCACACTATCACACAGGGAGACTGGGGAGGAGTAACTGCTTAATGCAAATAATATACAGCAGTATTATACATATGTATGTATAAATGCATATTCACACACACACACACACACATTGGATCTTAAACTTATTGAGGACATCTCAGCCAAACTGCAACAAAAATGATATTGGTATGATGGTGATGAAGAGACTAAAAACATAAAAACACGGCAGTGACACCAACTGTGGATCTTTCCCTCCAGAGAACATAAACTGTTCTATCTGCTGAGGCTGGCTGCAAACATGGCTCTCAATTCCTCTTTCCTGGAATGACTGAAGAAAACAGAACACAGCTACCCACAGAACTCATTGCTGCAGACACAAATGCTGTTGGTGCAACTAACAGGCCATTCATTAACGGGCAGTGGGACAGGCCTTTGGCTGAAAGGTTCTGAAAAAACACAGTGCATTGACATGACCCAACAAGTAACGTGTGTACCCTGCCAGGTCCAGGATTCCAGCCCCCCAGTGATTGGTTTGCATTATTCCCAGCTAGACAGAAACGAAGGAAAAAGCACTTTTGTTGGAAGCACCACATGGATGCATTGAGGGAACACTCCTGAGTTCATCCCCCCAGGTGTGTTTTAGGGACAAACACCTGCCTAGGGATGAACCTCCCCCATCCTGCAGCTCCAAACACCAAGCCTGCCTGCCCAGAGACCCACACAACTTCCTCTCATGGGGAACCAACCCAAAATTGCTGCAAATATTCCAATTGTTTGCATAAAGGAAGAGCAGCAAGCCCAATGAACCTCGAAAGCCTCAGATGTACACACACAGCTGGTGCATCTCACCCGAGCTGTGACATTTCTGGGAAAAGCAGTGGCTGAGAGCACCTGCTGCCAGGTGGGCAATTCCTTTGGTCCATGCTCCCTGTGCCTGCAGCCCAAGAGCCTCTCCAACAAAATCCCCATCCCAGGCCATCATTTCTACATTAGAAACCAGCAATTTCCATTTCTCTCTCCTCCTGTTTCCATCAGAGGCTGACTCAGCACGAGCTGCAGCACATCCATCCCACTGAGCCACCAGCAGGGACAGGGAACAAGCCCAGGAAACTTCCCCCTTCCAGCCCTGGGGCACCAATTTCAGCATCCCTTCTAAAATCCCTCCTTGTGGTCTTATCAAAACCTCTGTGCCTCTGCTAGCACTAGCCCCAGAAATAAACACCATCTCCTCTCCCAACAGGAGCACACAAAGTGGAAACATTTAAGCCCATCTGAAAATACTTGGTATTAGAAAATAAAGAAATAAATGGATAAAGAAACCCAACAAAAACCACGCAGTGATTCTGAGACAGAACAGTTATATTTTATACATTTTATTTCTGTGGGAGTTTAGGTTTTAAATAACATGAGACATTTTTGTTCTGACTCTATACCTGAATTGCAACTCTCCTTCCTTTTCAGTAAACTTTGGGATAATTTTCACAGTGGACAGTTAATGATGATGAAATTGGAAAGAATTCAAAGTAGAGCTTCTCTGCAAGCATGAGCCTTCCAAACATTAATTTAAGGAATGGAAATAAAACTATTTTGAAAACTGCTGATACTTAACCTAAAATTTTAATTATGTGGTGACCATGACTAAGCAGTTCTGAGAACACATTCTCAATTCCTGGCTGGTAATTTTTTTAAAACCACAGCTTGGTTTCCAAAGGCAGCACTACTCCATGACACAGGCTCTGCCTCATGCTCCCAAACACTCTGAACCAACAGCTTCAACTTGTGCATATTTGCCCTGAGAGCACAGTGAGTTTGGGGTTTCCCTTGGCTACATGGACTCCTGGACATCACAAAATCATGGAATGGTTTGGGTTGGAAGGACCTCAAAGCTCATCCAGTTCCACCCCCTGCCATGGGCAGGGACACCTTCCACTATCCCAGGTTGCTCCAAGCCCTGTCCAACCTGGCCTTGGACACTCCCAGGGATGGAGCAGCCACAGCTTCTCTGGGCACCCTGTGCCAGGGTCTTACCACCCTCACAGGGAAAAAATTCTTCCCAATCTCCAGACAAAATCTAACCTCCATTAATTTGTAGCCATGCCTCTTGTGCTGACTCCCCAGCTCTCTCGGAGCCCCTCTAGGCACTGGAAGGGCTCCAAGGTCTGCCCAGAGCCTTCTCTTCTGTGAACAGCCAGAGCTCTCCCAGCCTGCCTCCAGAACTGATGAAATTCAACACCAATTCCATGATCCTGAGCCTTTCAGCTGCCAGTTCTTTTAGATTTAGAGGAACCACACATAAAAACATTCTACTCCAGCTTCCTGTGTAGTAACCAGCCATGGAAAGATTTCTCCAAGACAAGGAGAAAATGAGAATTGCCAGCTGTACAGAGACCCCACTGTAGTAAATCTCTAGGACAGCAGAGTCACTGTTCCCATCACCAGCTGTTCTAGGGGGAAGAGCCAGCTGGACATCCCCACTGCCAACAAGCTCCTACACACATTAACACTCACACAATCTATAAGAAAAATCTACAGTTATTACCAGGTCCTGAGTACAGCCATAAGTAAGATTTCAAGTGTTAACCTTTAGGCCCAGATTTTCTCAAAATGATCCTGCAGAACATATATATATATATATATTTAAAACATCTATATTTAAAATTATCTATTTACCTAACCTATAAAACTTTACTACAAGCCAGACTGCCAGCTGGAGAAAAAACACCTTAAATTCAATTTCAAGTATTCATCAACATTAAAGTTGTTACTCTAAGTCCTTCGAAGATCCTGAGACAATACTCAATTATAATTATGTAAATATTCAATCAAAATAATTATATAAATATTCAATCAAATATAAGGGAGAAAAAAATAAGTAAAAGAATGGAAGCAGCTCCCAGAGCAGCAGTATAACTTTCCTACCCAGGCCAGGCTTTCCAGAGCCCTCAGCCTCCAAAAGCTGGTCTCCTATAAAATTTGGCAGCTCCAGAGGCTGAGCTGTCTTGTCTTTTGCAGCCACTTGAGATTATATACATTGCTACCCCTCCTTGCTCAGTGACAGTGATTTCCAAGGAACTCTCCCTACCTCCTTCCACGTGTGAAGTGCACTAAAAGGAACAAGGGATTGAAGGAAGCCAAGCAATATTTTACTGACTCCCGGAAGACAGACAGGATTGTACACAACCCTGGAAAACTTTGTAAAAATCCCAGAATTACCAACAAGAGAACTCTTCCTCATAAATAACCTGACACCACTCCTTCATCAAAAGATTTTGGCATGGAACGTATATCCATTGCAGTTTAAAGTTAATAGTTCATTCCACTAGCTAAAAAACTATGTCTATAATACTATTTAAATATTTTTTAATATTTTTAACTTCATAAAAAAAATAGTTTGAGCTACTACTTTCCTGAAAAAAAAATTCAGAGAGACACCAACTTTTGAATGAGTCCCTTAAAAATGTGCATTTCACCTGACAGCAGTAATGACTCCAAGGAAACACACACAAGGAAACATCTTTTCCTGAACCCTGCAGAAACATGTTCACACACTCAACTACAGCCCCAAACAGAACTTGTGCAATGTGACCAAGACAAAGTCAATCCCAAAGGCTGGGTTCCCAGTGCTTGTAAAATCTGACCACGTACAAATGAATTCCTTTTTGTTTTGGAAGATGTCAGTCTACATTTGCACAATGACTCCAAGAGCCTTGCTGGGCCTGCAGAGGCCATGGGAGTGCTCTCAGCTTTCATGAGAAGCCACCACCAGGGTGAATGAATCCAGCCCTTCTCCTGCAGCTTCTTCCCCCAGCAGTAACCTCTAGAAGCATCAATTCCCTGAGGGGAGCCCTGGGTCACAGACTCTCTTGCTTTCCCAGAGGAATGCTTGCTGTTATCCACAGTATCACCCAAATGTACTGTTTGCACCTCGGTGTCTTCCTCCCAAAGACATGAACCCAGAAACTTCAACTAAAGCACAAGTGATTTTCAGGCCTGCTCAGGTTCTGAAGCTGAGAACAGGTTCCTACTGGAGCAGAAATGCCTTAGCCTTCGTGACTGGATTGGCCAGAAGTGGGTTTACATCCAAGTCTTCCACACCCCAAGGACTTGCTGATGTGCTCCTTCTACACAGCAGTTAATCAAACCTCAATATCTCGCTTCCATCTTACATTTGCACATAAAGCACAAGTGTCCACACCTTCAGGAACAATACTTTTTAAAGGAAGAGTCAAAATGGATGGACACACATTTGAGAGCAACTTACCTAATTAGCTTCATGATGCCCATCACACATGTAAAGGCAAGAGAATCTCAGACAACAATTTGACTGAAAGCAGATATAACTCACAGGAAATAACTTTTAAGAACTGGTTTCTCTGTGACAAGAGCATCTAGAGGAGAGCAATTAATACCCAACAAGTGACTGGTTTTGGCAACTCAGGCTTGGTGCCCTTAAAATGAGCAGAATTTTTTAAAGCTGTTACATTGCTGTTACAGTTCAGATGGTGTTCGGGTGAGTTCCTGGGATACACAAATCACCTACTTCTAAACAGGCTTCTGTATGTTATAGACTAAACTTCTTAACTTACAAATAATTATTTTGCTGTTTCCAGTTTACAATGGTAAAAAAATGAAGACTTCACAATGGGTATAAATGGGAGGTAAATGTATTTTTAAAAACAGAATAAAAAGCTGCACGTTAAAAACTGGCTCACAGACTAATAAATACATACATCAAAGACATGAAATTTTCAGCAGCTGGTTTTAAAGAGCAAGGAATTGGGAAAAAACTAGCTGTCCAGACTCCATTCTGGCTCTGTGGTCTATGTACTAAAAATATCTGCAGTTGAAAAACAAGTTAGCAGAGGAGTAGAATCAGCTTTGTCACCTATTTTCTTTTTTAAAAATTAAGCTACTTCCTAAAAGTGTGGTGTAAAACCTAGAGAAACTATTAATTTCTTCATGCACTTGATGACATTGAATTAAAAAAGAAATTATTTTAACCCAGAAAAAATGAGTCATTGTATACAGTAAGGACAGCCTTACTGCAAGTTTTCTACAGTAAAAGTATTTCTAGAAATACACCAGAAATTACTTTCCTATAACAAAATATACAATTATGTGTTGGATCATCATTGAGTTTCAACACTTAGGCAAACAGAAACAGCTACTGTGAAGTTTCAAACAAAACCCAAAGAAACCCAACTCCAAGAGCAGAAAGATGTTTTGACGGCTGTGGAGATGCCAGAAAGCAATGCTGGACACCAGGAATCTCCAGAACAACTCCCTTTCCAAAGTGATGTGCAGTTTGTGAATTAGACTGTGAGAGAAAACTGATCCTGTTCTATGGGTTTCTCCACCCAGGCTCCAAGTCCTGCCTTCAGGAATGCTTTAAACAAACACTCTTTAGCAGTTTGATACTCAGTGGCTCCTTGCTTGGTGTCGTGGTACAGGTTGGGCTTGAGGATCTTTGAGCGCAAGCTGGAGGAAAGCTGTGGGGTGAGAGACAAAAGGAGAGAGACAAGACCCTGTTAAAGCCAAACATACCAGAGTGACTGAGTTATTTAAACAGCCAACAATAAAACAAGGAAAGGATCTATCAAACAAAACATTGAGGACAAAAAGCCACTGACATTCTTCCTGGAAGCTTTCTGAGAGTAGAGAGTGAATCCTCAGCAGTGAAAATGGGATTATCTTTCCAAATAAATTAAAATGCAAAGGCAAGCTCAAAGGAGACAGCATCCTTTGCTTACTCAGCTATAAACCAAAGAATATGCATTTTGGACCAGACATCATCACATTAAAGTTAACAAACACATTCTTCTTCTCTGTTACTGCATGGAGAAGCAGCTACCTGGCTTAAGTTGCACCCGGGGAGGTTTAGATTAGATATTAGGAAAAAAAATTTCACTGTCAGGGCTGTAAAACATTGGAACAGGCAGCCCAGTGAAGTAGTGGGGTCACCAACCCTGGAAATCTTAAAAAAAATGTGAGGATGTGGTGCTAGAGGACATGGTTTAATGCGAACATGGTGGTGGTACTGCATTGATGGCTGGACTCGGTGATCTTAAGGGTCTTTTCCAGCCTTAACGATTCTGTGGTTCTGACACGAGGCTTGGCTTGAACAGGCTGACACAGAGGTTTCTGAGTACAGAAGGCACATGCAGGAATCTCAGTGAGGTGTCACAAGCGGCCAACTCGCCCCCCTGGCAGCGGTACCTTGGCGTGGATGCGCATCCAGCGGCTGTAGAAGGCGTGCTTGCAGAGCCGTGACGCACGGCCCATCTCATCCTTGCCAGTTGTGGCATTAATGACTTCCAGGCCAGAGTCTCCTACTGTCCAGTTCACACTGAAGTTTGGGGCTTTTCCTGGCTGACGGGCTTCTGCGTTGCTGATACCTGAAAAAAACGTCACGTTTAATGATGATGATAAATACAAATGCTTGAATTTTGGTTTTTTTGTTGGAGAATAAACACTCTAAGAAGCAGATCTTTTATTTTGGGGGCATTCTCCTGCAGATTTCTCATTGACTCGCAGAGGTAACACTGTGGACATGTCACTCTCACTTGGGCTAAAGTGTTCTCTAGTTCTATCCTTCCCAGCAGGGCAAGTGTGCAGCCTCCTTGGCAGAGGGGATCATGCAGAGTTCTGTGGCAGGAGTTCATAGGATTCACATCGATGTGAAACTATGAACCCTGGAAGTGCTCATGGCCAGGCTGGATGGGGTTTGGAACAACCTGGGATAGTGGAAGGTGTCCCTTCCCATGGCAGGGAGGGGAGTGAGATGGGCTTTACAGCCCCTTCCAACACAAACCATCCCATGATTCGACTGAAAGTGAGCCCCACCCTCAGCACCCTGCACAAAGCCACAGCTGGCAGACATGTGGGTCTCCCAGCATAAATCCACTGTGTTCTAGCTGACTCCCCACTTCACACACCCAGTGTTGCACACTGAGCCCAAAGACAGGGAACCATGGACTCCCATCACTCTGCTCAGGTGTTAAATGATGTGATACCTTCCAACTATGGCTCTATTTCCAGGGATGGAGAAGCAAAGCCACCACAGTCTAAACGAAGTGCAATTCCAGCCTGGCTGCCTGCCTAGGGCAGGATTTATTCCCCACTGGAATAAAAAAAAACCCAGGTGCTCAAAGATGGACTATACATAACGAAGATCTCAGCAGCTGCTGCCATGCACAGGTGACTCCTCACACATTCCAGGGGTGTCTCAGTCACCTCACAAGGAGAGAACAAAGCACCAGGGCAATTTGCTCTTTCTGGTCAATAAAAACCCCACTTTTACTTTAAGGCAGCTCTCACCAAGAACCTATCTCAAGTCTACTCCACTGTTAAGCCAGGTCCTACACTTAATAAAACCTAAAGAATTTGTGGAAATTGAATACAATCAACACTGCAGGATGCATTTCTGGCTGATATCTGGAACACAATCTAATAAAGCTGGGCACCTGGGGGCAGGACTGGCTCACCTGGCTCAGTCTCATGGCACCTCTGGGCCCAGCACTGAGTGTGTGCAGGTCAGAACGACTCTGCAAAATTCAGTTTGCTTCCTATCATCAATTCCTAATTTCATAAACAAAAATAAATCCTTTGAAACACAAATCACTGAAGTGGTTATATTTTTACCCGTGGTTTGGATCAATCTTGTCACTATGACTGATAAGAAATAATTAACTGAATGATAACAGAAAATAACCTACTATTCCCCATTTCCTTAAAATATAAGGTGAAAAAACTGAGATTTGGAAGGAAAGTTGGTTTTACCAAAAGTACTGAGGCAAAAATGCTAAGAAATTGATGCCACATGACAATTTTTTGTCTTTTTTTTTTTCTTTAATTTAATGACATCTATACTAATACCTTCTTTCATTCCATACACTAATAAACAAGTACAGGGATCAGACAGAGGTCATCAAGTACTCCAAAACACTTGGGATATCACAACCAGTCCCACAAACAAATCAAATAAAGATGAGAAAGTTGAACACCCAGTATGCACAACATTTCCACTGCAATTATGCAATACCATTCCTTGGTTTTTGATGAATTAATCAATTAAAAAAAAAACAACAAAACCAACCCAGATTTAGAATTTCAAATGGATTTAATTAATAACAACACATTCAGCTGCTTATTTGTATGCAAAAACCCTGTAGAGATGTCAAAGGAGTCCCTGATGGTCAGTAACAAGTAGCATGGACAGGGAATAAAGGTCATCTCAAAATCAAAGCATTTGCTAAACCTTTAGGTGGGTTGTACCTTCCCCCTCAAACTCTAGACATGAATATAGCACAGTATGCTGAGATTAGAAACAGAAAAGAAATTTAGGGTACAAAGTAAAGTATTTTACTTTTCCTTGAAAACTAATAGAACTTAAGCAATTTAAGAGAACACTGCTCAGAACTTACTGTTGAATATTATTACAAAGACATATAATAAACAAAAGCAAAGGTCACTGCTCTTTGTGCCAGTGCTTATATAAATAATAAAGTTTGACAGTTCTTTGAGAAGAGAGCTAAAACAAGCTTCATTAAAAAGGACATAGAAAGTTGAAGAACAATATGAACAGGAGGATAAGGTATCAAGGGAAAAGCCAAATAAAAAAAAAATCACTAGAATTTCTGCTGAAGGATTTATTTTTGTCTACCTTAAAAACAAATTCATTAACACTTGGATAAAGATGGTCTCTTTGGGAAGAGTGAACATAGCTGGAGACATCTGGGATGTGGGGGGGAAAAAACTGAGGTAGGATTGTTGATGATACTAAATTATCTTTAAACAGCAATAAGAGGAGCAATAGCAAAAAGAAGCAGAAAATACCTCACATACTGGGTGATAAAAAAGCAATAAAAAGGCAGATGAAATTCCTCACAGATTAATATAAAGCAACACATCCTAGGAAAAAAAACAAAGCAATCTTGCACAAGGAGTGCTCGACTTGGAGCTTGATATTAGCATTGAGAATGAGATGTTAGTTTCTAATATTCAGTTCTACCAAAAGGTCAGGTCAATCACCAGCAGTAATCAAAGTAAATGTCAGGAATTATTAGTGAAGGATCAAGGAAGTGAACAGAAGATATGCCACTGCATAGACTAGTATTGCTGCTTTACCCTGAATATCAGCTGCTGCCCTGGTCTCACCAGCACAAAAATGGGTCTGCAAAATGATCCTTCTGTGAAAGGGCCATTGTGCAAGGGAAAACAAAGTAGACTAAGACACTTCAGCTTGCAAAAAATAGGACTTAGGTAGGAAGGAATATCTCAGAGGTACAGAAAATTGAGTGTCATGACCACTGCTTATGGTCTGGATCTCACAGAGCACTGGGGAACATCAAATTGAGTAAATGAGCAGAAAGGAAATTCCTTTGCACATTCCACAGCCCTTACTCAAGGAGGCTGGGGATGGCAAAACGTTAAAACCACTTCAAAAAAGTGAACCAGGAATGAACAAATGAAAGATGTGTTAAGGATTTCTGAACACAAAGATCTCAGCAGCTGACTCAGGTTTCTCCTGCATGCCCACCTCCAGTGTGGCTCTCCCTCAAAGAGAGTCTGTGCAGGTCACTCTGCAGATGGGCAGCTTGATATTGGCCGATTTATCCAACCACTCCCACTCCACCTGGTTGAGAAAGCTTTTTTTTTCAGATTATTCTAGAAATTTACAGTGTCCTCTCTTCAAGTGGAGTGGCTCAATCAGGAAAAGCCCAACTGCCCTCAGTGCTGGGGTGCTAAAGGCACCCTGACAAGCTGGACCCTGCAACCAAGGCTTCCAAGAGTCAGCACAGGAGGGAGTTTTCTATGAAAAAACACATTTCCTGCATCCCCCAGCTGAAAAACACCTGCTCTGGTATGTGTGTTCCCCACTGGAACTGAGTACATGGGGATGTGTCAGTGGTGGACAGGGCAGTGCTGGGCTAATGGTTGGATGTGATGATCCTGGGGGTCTACTACAACCTCAAGGATTCTATGATTCAATCTGCTGGCAAAAGGTGTAAGTAAAAACTCTTATAAAGAAAGATGATTAAAAGAATTTTTAGCATTGCAAACACTATTTCAAAATAAAACACAATGCAAGTGCCCCAGCAGACAAAAAATTTGCTTTATTAGAGGACAAAAACCTGTTTTTATAGTACTTTCTCAGCTAAACAGGCAGGACAGTGGGGCAAGACAGGTATTTCTGTTCTAGTTCATCCCCTTGGTGGAAATAAATCAGAGGGGTGTGTGTGGGGTAAAAGAAAGAACACAGAACTGGAGACAGGTATTTCTGCTGCACTTGTTCTAGGTAAGAATACAATAAAAAATATGTGAATCCAAAAGCACACAAACAGCTGCACAAACGCCCCAGCTGAATCTAACAGCAGAGGTCAGAAAATCAGCTTTCAAGACTGAACCAGTAAAAGAAAATAGAACATAGTTCTCTGCCTAACCTCCTAAAGAACCTTTCTGCACATTTTTAAGAAGTGCATTTTTGTGAAGACTCAACAGCTGAGAACATTTCCAAACTCTCTCTGCTGCACAGCAAGTCCCAACTCAACTGTTTAAACAGATGGCTCTATTTCATGGGAAATAGATGATGGCACCATTGCAGAAAGATGATTTTCAAGAAGACAAGTTACAGTTACATGCTGTGAAAAGGATAACAAAAACGCTTCTCACTCTGATGCAAACCTGCTGTCTTGAAGGACTGATAAAAATTCCCCAAAATCCGGCAGGAACAGTCCATACATCAGCTACTACACCCATAAAACTCTTAGATATTTGGTACAGAATGTTGCAACTGTTACCTACTTGCTAATATAAGGACAAATATGTTATTTAACATTTTTATACATCCTAGTTCAGGGAATCCTTATTACCTGTCTTACCTAAAGAAATACTCATTGTTCACAATGCCCTTTTCCCCATTCCCTCCCTAAATCTTTTTAAAAAATTCATGTCAAACTTTAAACATGCTTTAAAATTATGAGCTGCTTTCTTTTCCCTGAAAAATAAACACATGCCAAAAGCTAACCTCTACAGAACAAAGCAATATACTCAGTGAGAGGGAGGATGAGGTTTCAGTTTGAAAGCTTTCAAAGCATTACTGTAACGAACCATTTTAGAATTTAAGACAGGTGAGGTGTTATCCCCATCCATTTTGAGTTGATTATTGACCTAAAAATTGAGAACCAAGTGTGTCTATCTTGGCATACTGCTAGATGAAGGGACCACTCAGCAAAAATCTGCAATGCAAGAGAAGTGACAGTGAGTGCTAACACACTATTCCTCAGGTGGGAGGAGGTTTCCCTAAGCCTTCAACTCTGCTCACATCTTCCTAGGGCATGCTCCAGACTGGAATGATGTGAAAACTCATCCAAAGTTTCATCCCCCAGCTCTTCCCAACTTTTAAAGCTCCTTGCTATGGTATTTCTGACTGTATTCTGTTTTGACCACAACTTGTCTGTTGTAAGCAGCAAGCAGTTTACTCACAGCACACAGTTTGCAAGGTTTTGAGAACTACAAAAATCACAATGCTACTGGAACAGACTTAGTTACCGCCACGGCCTTCTCCATTAGATACTTGCCACTAAGTAAAGGTCTGTTGAGTGTATAAAGAGGTGGTAGATCTTCTATCTCTGCTATCCTCTGGTATACGGCTCTGGATAGATGATCCCCATGATATAAACTCCCCAAGATGATGCTAGAGAAGTAAATTGGCTCCACAAAGAGGCTAAGTAAGGCTCCTTGAATACCCAATACGTTCCACCTAAGAGGGAGGGAAAAACAAAACAAAACAAAAAACAAAAAAAACACTTTCTTTTTAATGGAACAAGTAACATCTGCCAGACATAACAGCAGTTAATCACAATGGACCAGACTTTCAACCCTTCCTCCTGACCAGCACATGACCATGGTAGCATAAGCTGTGACACCTGCCAGAATTTCAGAGATCAGCCTAGGGGATACTCAATGTAATCCTGAGTAAAATGACCTAAAACAGGAGCAGAGACTCTGTAACTGGTACCCCTGCTAACATGTCTGGTGATGCATTTTCCAGCACTCTAATGCCAGAGATGGACAGGATCATTCATTGGGAGAAAGCCAAACTGTGAGATTCTCCACCAGAAAGAGCAGCTGATGCCTCCAGCAGGGAGAAGAGCATCCTTCCCAGAGCACAAGAAGGATTGTCTGCAAGACCTCTATAACTCACTACCACAAGCAAAGGCCTGTCCTTCACACCCTAGCCCAACTGCCCACATCCTGCTGACAGACAGGGCATGTGCACTGGCTTGCAATATCCATGGGCAGGGACAAAACCGAATATGAAAACTGAAAACACACAAAGAATGCATACAGTCTTTGCTCCTGTTAGCTGCTGCACAGATTTCAAACACAAATCCCTGTCTGAGCACTGTGATTTACACTGGATCAAGGTCTAATGGCAGGGATCTAGAATGCCTAGGAGCAAAATCCTGATTTTGATTTTTTTTTTTAAATTGTGTTCATTTGATAAAGTTTTGGTTCTCAATGTTTCTGTCACACAAAATACTTTTGATAATTTCAACATAACCTGCAGGGTATTTTCAGTGCCTTGGTTCTGAGGCACTATGAAAGAGCATATTTCAGTCTTGGAATCTCAGAATGGTTTGGCTTAGAAGGGACCCTAAATATAATCGAGTTTCAAACCCTGCCATGGACAGGGACACCTTCCACTACCCCAGGTTGCTCCTGTCTAACCTGGAGTTGGAGTCCAGCTGGAACAGCCAGACACAAGCAGCAGGAAAAGTTTGCCTTAGTATTTAGATAAAACAGAGGAGCACATCAGAAGCTCTCATCCTCCCAGAGAATGGCTGTCCTTTTAAAGAGCCCATGTTATACCAGGCTGCAAGGTTCTCCCAGGAAAACAGGGAATTCAGCTGCTGCTAACAGTGCTTCCTGCAGCTTGTGCTGGGCAGGCCACACATCAGCATCCTCTCAGCCTAGAAACTCCACACCACAACTGTTTAACTTCTGCAGTAACTGAACTACACAGGCTGGCTTCAGGACTTGCAACATGTTTCTTTTGTTTAATATAAAAATGGTAAAACAAAGACTATCATGCAAAGAAACTATTTCTTTGCATATCTTTACTGATGATGAAAATGGAGGAAATATGCATTAATTTACTCACCTGTCACCAAAAAAGCTGGCCCTAATAAGTGAGTAAAAATACTGTGCTAGTATATGAGGTGTATTTTACATGGATTAAAGGCATATTTTTTATAAGACTGAAAACACAACCAGCAACCAAGTGTCAGAGTAAAGATATCAAGTGAAAATTGCTGCTTCCCAGGACCAATATGCCTTTCTGACTGCTACAGACACAGGTAATGCTGTGGAAGAAACGTTTGCAAAGAATTCAGGACTGAGCATTGCAAACTGAGGTTTGCAGATAAGGTACATCACATTTTACATTACATGATCAGTGCTTAAGTGATGATAAACATTTTAAAATAAGCCAAAGCACTCTTCTGGCAAGCCCTTGCTTCCTAAATAAACCCTCTGCCAGACCCTTTTCCTTATTCTGACTTCACTATTTCCAGAACTTGTGTTTTGCTGTTTCCTCCCACACTCGATGACCCTCTCTGGTGCAGAAAATGAAAGCTGACATTTGTCTTGTGAACAGTTAGAGGAGGAGGAGGAGGAGTGAGGACAGCTGAGCAAGCCTCTGCAAAGAGGACTGTAGGAACTGGTATTACTGGGCACAGGCCTTGTTCTGCTGCCTTGTGCTGAATATCCTTGGCCACTGCAGCACACACTCGTGCTGGGCTCACAGCAATGGGCCTCTAGAAACCACTCTTACAACCAAAACTCTTAATATTCATCAGGCAAGGATGGGTGGTGGTCAGGTTATAAAACTAGCTTTAAATCTCATTGTTATAATAAAAGAAAACACAGACTTCCCTACAGAGATGTGTTCTTACATCAGAAACTGGTTATAGTGATGAGATAAACCTGAAACCCAAAAGAATCACATCATCACTACGGCTGGAAAAGCCTCTAAAATCATCAAGTCCCACCACTAACCCTGCTCACTACTGTTCCCAGGTGCCACATCCACACACCTTTTGGACACTTCCAGGGACACTCCATCACTTCCCTGTGCAGCCTGTTCCAGTGCCTGGCCAAATTTTTCACTGCAAATCATGCAGGGCAGAGCAGAAAAAGCAAAATGCACTACAGAGAACTTCAAATAAACGTTGTCTTTACAATGCTGCAATAAAACAATTGACTTTTTTTTCTTCACATTAAAAACAGTATCAGAATAGAGTTAAATAAGTTAAGTGACTTAAATGTAGCTTACAAACCCAAACCTGGGGGCTAAAGAACAAACATGAGCAGAATCCAGAATGCTGCAGCACATGAACAGATACTGAAATGCCTGAAGTAAGGTATGCAAAGCAGAGAGTTGCAGATGGGAAAGCACACCCAGGGAAGCAGGCAGGAAACTATTCCTATGTAAACCTTCTCAGTGGAAAAATCTGAAATGCTTGTCTAGGGTAAGAAAAAAAAATTGTCTTATGACAGTATTTAATAGATTCTGAGCGTTCCGGTTTTAAGTTACTACAAGAATTTTCTCTGACTACCTTCAAAAGCTTTACCTTAAAGTAAAACTGATATTTAAAGTGCAAGCTCTTAGATTGGTATGAATAGCCCCAAGATTTGTGTTCTGCTAATTAAATTGCAATGCTTAACTACAGGTGCCCTGATATGAGCTGGGGTACAGCTAATGGTGATTCCTTCACTGTTGGAGTAGAAGGACAGTGTTGGGAAATGCTCCTTCAAACCAGTACATCCCAACACTTTACAGACTCAACCCCAACCTTGGCCTTTGCAGATCAATTCACATGAACTGTGTTCAACTCCTGTCAATTTACACAGAGGACACTCTCTATCCTGTGCTCACCTGATGTCTTAGAGATGAGCACCTCAGTGGGAAATCTGAATTTTATACATTTATCACACTCACTGCTTTTCTTATTCTACATGTACTTCTCTAGATCTTGTTCCTAGCAGTCTGGAGGATGGGTGCACTTCCTCAACATTTCTGCTGTTCTCAAGTACACTGCACTAAAAAAGAGGGTGGAGAAACCAGAGGCTGCACCAACTCAAGAGGAGTCCTCTCCTCCTTGCTGTGTTGTCACATTTCTGCTCAGGGGTATTTGCAGTGGATTCCTAAAAGGTCTGTGGATTTCTTCATGAAATGCAGCTGGTTTCACAGCCCTTGACACATGAGAAGGTAAGCAAAATTTAACTCTCAGCAACACCTTCACAGCGTGTTGGTAGCACCTCTTGCCAAAAATAAAACCAGGTTAAAAATACTTATGTCAGATAAAAACTCTGCTCTGAACTTTCCAAACCCAAAAGGTACAGAAATTCTGGTATTCACATTATTTTAGAGAAAATATAGAATTGGGGGGGGGGGGGGTAGGCTAACAGCTGTAAGTCATAAAACTTGATGTTAAAATCAAATATCTTAGTTACTAATTTTTATGCAGAGAGCAGGATGGGGCAGGGGAGTCACTGTGTGTGCTCCACAATGGTGTCCACACGGAACTGGTGTCAAAATTCATCTCAGGAAAACAAGAGTCTCCTACAACTACTCAAACAAGGCAAAACCTGACAAGTGTTTACAGCTCCAAGACCTTCCTTGTATCAAGATTATTTATAAACAATTACTATGAAGAAATGAAAATTATTTAGTTGGCATTTTGTTTATCACAAGTTTTTACTTGCAAGTGATTTCAAGTGAGAGAAAGTGTCATTGTGGAAGATGCAGGACTGCCCCAGAAAGCACTTTGCTTTCTGCCATGCCAAAGGCACAACTTTAAACCCGATTTCTCTTTGTTTCCTAAAGAGATTAATTCTTTATGACCACTCCTCTTCAAGAGCCACAGCTGTAAACAGGCAGCAGCATCTTTACAAGGAGTGAGAGCTTCTTTTAAATCAAGTGGCTGGGTCAGCAGCCCACACTATAAAACATAAGTGCAGGAAGACTCTGGTCTTGGACAGCAGCTCTTCTCAAACACCATTTTAGATTTGCAGTTATAGACATGGAAAAGTTTTCCCCTTGTAGCTGCACTGAGGCAGGCAACCACAGGGCTCCAACCTGTCCCAGCTTTTTTGGCATTACCTGGATTTGCTGCCTAAATCTTGCTGGAGACTGAAATGTTATAGTTTATGACTTAAATATCTTCATGAAGCACCTTTGCCTATTATAGCAAAATTGTATTACAAAAGCTGCAGAGAAGAGCACTACACCTGAAGAGGCCTGACTGAGGCACTACTGATGCAGGTATGATAAAATAACAACTCTTTTCTTTAAAGTAGAAGAGCACCAATGACTTCCCTTTTAACAACTCAACCTATAAAGTTTTTTTCAGTTTCTAGAGGTTTTCTAAGAAACTCTGTGAAAAGGAATTTTGTGCTTCTCAGCAGGGCGTTAGCCATTAACTGGAACGTTTAATGAGAAGGTAAGTAATTATTTGAAACCAAAAATATGGGCAGAAAAACACATCAAAAGTAAAAAGACAAAAATCAACACTGTGAAGCACCATGGCACCAGGCCAGGATAGATGTAAAACAAATGCATGTATATTAATGTTAACTCTGGTCAGAAACCACCCTAAGAGCTTTGTGCAGAGCCACTGAGTTCTAACACACCAGGACAATTCTGTTTTAATGCTTCCAGCCCAAGTGAGATTACACTCGTGGCCCTCCCACATTTCTCACAACTTTTCTTGGATGCTCCTACCAGGTCTAGGAGGGTGCTGGGCAGCACACTGCAAAGCATTCAAAGGCTAGGGACAGCAACTGGGATTACACAGATAATCCACACAGATGAGGCAGTTCAGATCCAAGTGCAATCCCACACCCTAAATTTATCCACATCTTGCTCAGGCTGTGACTGAGAACCTTTGGGAAAGCTCAAGGGAAATTCCTGGGTCTGAGGCATACTGGAGGACCGAGTGCTGGGCACTATGGAGCCAGGCATTCTTTCAAATATAAATGGACAAAACATATCAGGGCAATGTGAAGAAAAAAAAAAAAATAAAGATGAAAATGTGGGCCTCCTTACCCGTCATACAGTCTTTGTTTGTGTCAAGGGGGTCTATTTGCTTCCTTCACTGGCACAAACAAAATTATTCCCATTAGCCCCAGGGAGAGGTGACAGCTAGCTATGGAAGTGAGAGATGGATTCTGCTCTGCATCACACAAAATCAACAAAAGAGTCACATGTGTTCTAGCTCAACAATTGGCTTTTTTATATATATATATTGCAATGACAATGTGATAAAAGAATGTGGCAAGAATCTCAAGTCAGGTGGTTGGGAGAAGCCCCTGGCATGAAACTGGCGAATGTATTTGGTGCATTTTACTGCAAATATTATAATAGAAGCCGAAATGTCATTTTTGTAGAATTGCCTTTCCCCAGCTGCCTGTCCTAGCTTCTGAAAGGCCCTATTCATTTATGTTAAGAGTATTTAAAATAAAATAAAATGTTCTCCTTCAGGAGAGATGCTGATTACCTGAGACAAGACTAAAGGAACAAAGCCATTATATAACCTTCCTCCTCTATTTTTCATTTGGCATATGCAGTTCACAAGAATAGTTCCAACTTACTATCTTGAATAAACTTTGAGTCAGGCTAATGACAACTTGAGAAAACAGCAGAGCTCTTTTAATTAAAGCATATATAACATACATTTTATTAAAAATAACTAAAGTATCATTACTTGGCATTTCTCATCTACTTTGCAAGAGCACAAAGGCTGCAAACATAGACTCATTTTAAAAAATGATGTTGCAGCTCTCCCATGCTTCCAATGCTTATTAAAGAATACTACTGCTGAATTTTTTTGTCCATTTATGACTGTGAAAACAAACAAGAAAAATCTTTCCATCTTTGTCAAAAAAAAACAACAAAAAAGGAGTTTTATGAAACATATATTAAAATATTGTTCTGGAAATAAAAGATTTCATTTCAATAAGATATTTAAATAACAATTAAAATTCTAGAGTAAAAACCAGAAGGGCCCATCAATTAGGATTTTTTTTAACAGGGACACTTTTCACCATAAAAAATAATAAAAATCTAAACTGTGCATGGGAAATGTAGGAACCTTTGCCATCATGGAATGGTTTGGGTTGGAAGGGACTTTGAAATTTGTCCTGTTCCAAGCCCGTGCCACGGGCAGGAACACTCATCTAGACCAGGTTGCTCCAAGCCCCATCCAACCTGACCTTGAACATTTCCAATGATGGAGCAACAATGTGTATCACCAGAGGAAGCCATCCAGATGTCAGTAATGCAATAAATTTATTGTACTGTTTTCCTAATGCTATACTACTTTAGAGGAAAAAAATCTAAAACATTCCCCTGTTATTCCCCAGTGATAGAAATACAAAACAAGGCTGTCATGACTTGATGTGGCTAGAATGATACAGAATGACTACACCTTGCCTCTGAAGTCAGCAAAATGTCTGACACCAATTGCAGGTGAAGAATCACAGGGGTGACAACCACCCTCACACTATGTCTGAGCAGTGAGATAAGCCCATCAATTCCCTGCACATTCATCGTGGGTACCATGCACCCCTCCTCTCTTGTAGGAATCACAGGATGGTTTTGGATTGGAAGGACCTTCAAGATGAACTTATTCCACCCCTCTGCCATGGGCAGGACACCTGCCACCAGTCCAGGTTGCTCCAAGCCTCATCCAGCCTCGGCCTTGAACACTTCCAGGGATGAGGCAGCCACAGCTTCTCTGGGCACCCTGTGCCAGGGCCTCACATCCTCACAGGGAACAATTTCTTCCCAAAATCCCATCTAACCCATCCCTGCTTCAGCTTAAGGCCGTTCCACCTTGCCCTATGCCCACCTTCAGCAGCGACATGGAGAGCAGCCAAACCAACCATTCAGTGTCTCACCTGGCTATCTTGTCACTGCAGGACATGGTCAGCAGCCTCTCTCCTTGCAAGACCCCATCCCAGGTCTGGATAGTGGTGGTGGAGCGCACAGGGATGGTCCCTTCCCCAGACTCGATCTTGGTCCGCAGCTGTCCCCTGGCTTTGCGGTTTGGATGTCTGTCCCCTTGGTCTGGAGGACAAAAAGCACTGAGAATCAGCTGAGGAACATTCCCAAAGGGTTTCACATTAGAATCACAGTAAGAAAGACTGATGTGAGGTATTTGCCTGCAGTTACTGCTGGCTTGCATCACAGTTCCTACTGCTCTTGGCAATTTAGCTGCAGCCTCAGACACCTCTCCCAAATGCTGCCCTCCAAAACACACTTGCAGCTAAACCAAGCTTTCACCAAAGGAGCAGTAGGAATCAGGCAGCTCTTGAGCTCTGCTCTGTGTGTTACAGAGTTAAAATGAAGTTAATGGGCAGACTTTGGAAGGGGCAGGCAGAGAATTGCTGTTAAAGGATGGAAACGGGGAAAGGGGATGGTTAGTTCTGTAGGAATACTTGCTGACTCACTGGCTTATCTCAGTTAGCATCAGCCTCTTCAAGACCACAGGGCTCATCACTCTATACTGAGCTTCTACCACAGAGGAAGAACAGCTCAGATTTTTTTGGAAGAGATCTTTTTCTAACACACTTCTATGCTAAAAGGAAAGAAGACACCTAAATTTTAACCGTGCTGCTTGTACATGCCCCAAGAATAATTTAAGCTCCCTTGGGTGGAAGAGGACTGCTGTCATACCCTCTTGTGCTGCTTCATGGGGTGAGAAAATCCGAGCATCACCACAAGGAGATGTGCTGATATAGAGATGGAACTGCACATTCTCCTTCAGCTTAAACCCGCCTTGCTCTGACCTGATGAAAATGGATTTTTGCTGATCTTCTTTATTGCTGAAACAGAGAAGAAATCTGGAGTCAAAACTGACATTAACATGGAAATAGGCATAAGCTGCTGGGCAGACTTAAACACAGGATGGCTGAAAATTCTATAATATAAATCTAACAATTATGACAATTAACAAAATTAAAGGACCATCGAGACAGGAAACAAAGAGCCTGTGGCAATCCCAGATGCCAAGAGCTTTCAGACACTTAAATGAAACATCAGCAACCTTTAGCCCACTTCATATCATTTAGATTTATACATCTACAGTTTACAAAATGACTGCCAATTATTTTCCCCATCCTCCCCTCTCATGATTGACACCTCACTAAATAAATGTTTTATCCAACTCAAACTTGAGGGCAACGGGCACGAGTTCTAAATTCAACATCCTAATGCAACAAGACATGTGCTTTACACTGAAATAATGAAGACAGATGTTTTCCACAGACACCTTTTTAGCTCTGTGGGATCAGCTCATCATGTTTTTTTCCTCCAGCTTACCTTAGATAAAGCTCAAGTTGTGTGTAGAGAAATTTCAGCAGACACCGTCGAGCTATAATTTCTGCATGGCAATCATTTAATGCAAGACCACGATCACTCATGTATTCACCATTGATGCATTTTGTTCCTGTAGAAACACTTATTACCAAGGCATCTTTCACATCTGTACCTGCAAAACAAAATTTCAGGAAGGAGATGCACTTAACATCACAAATAATGCACTGAATGATCATCTTGCAGAAGCCAAACAAGGCTATTTTTTTTGGTTGTTTGCTTCTTTTAAAAATAAAAAAAAAAAAAGCTTTTTCTTCTGATAATTTATTTAAAACAAAAGCTTCACTCAGCCATACCTCCCTGTACCAGCACTGTCAGTGGTTCTTACTGAAGAGAGAACTACTGTCTTCATGTTGGAGTTCAGACAAGTTAAAAAATGAAAACCTGCAGGTGAAAAGTGCTGCCTCAAGAAGAATTATTAAAGCCCGAGATCCAAAGTGCTTTTTATCCTGAGACTGAAGCAGCCAGAAACTTTGAGCTGTACCTTCTTGCCACCTATGCAGATATTCACAGCCACCTTAGAAACCTGAAAGGCATTGGTTTATTAAAGCAGCAACATGTTATGGAAGGGTATTGAGCCAACAGTAGGAAAGGTAATACTAGGGAAAAAAGAAGTGTAAATGTTTAAATCACTGTAAAGATTACCAGTATAATGTGTAGTTCTTGATATTAAACCATCTCATGCAATAGAACTTGAAAAGTACATAGGGTGGGAGTTTTCTATATAGAGAGCTGCCTTTAATCACTCGGAAAACCCAGCTGAATGAAGGACCGAGACAGACAGGTCAAAATGCCACTTAGCAGAACACTCAGGGATAAAAATAAGCCCAACAAGTGAAAATGAGCCCAGGTGAGCCCTCCTGCCCACAGGGCTGGAGGAAAAACACCAAGCTGTAACACAATGGGATCATTTAATTCCAGGCATTCCCCAGACATGCATTCATGGCAAGATATTTTCTTCTTCTGTGTAAAGCTATTTCTTCAGTTAATTAAAAGGCATTCACATGTTAGTTAATTCTTTGGCACATGATTCTTCTGGGCTACATACAGGGCTGTAAATAGCATAAAAAAAATCTGTTAAATGTCACAAAACACAATAAATATCACAAAACAAACAAAACTACAGCAGAGTTATTACCACATGGAGGTCTAGCTGTTGCTTGAGGAGCATCAGGGCTACCCAAAGCCCCCAAGAGCCTGTGTGAGTGGGAGAGCAAGAGATCAGGAGGGGACACAGCTGGGACAGCCTCAAAATGAACATTCCACCAAGGGCTCACATGGATTGAAGACCAAGATAAACCTTAAGGTGAGGAAAACTTAGCAGCAGCATGGTCATAGATGAGTTTAGGGCAGAACTTCACTGTTTTGGGTGATTTGGATAAGCAGAGATCTCGTGTCAGCACCCAGGGAGCCACTGCTGACAGGTGCACACCACTGCCATCTGCCAAAACACAAACTGCTGTCTTCAGATATTTTTACTGAAGTGACTGACACAGACCACTAAGAATAAAATGTAGCAAGAAGAACAAAGTGCAAAATCTTAAAACCTTGGAAAGAAGCATAATTCTTACATAACGTGCCCAAACCAGGAATACCAATGGGAGATTTTATTTATTTTCCCAAAGTTTCGCAATTAACTTGAAAACCTACATTCTGTGAGCTACTCAGATGTCTCAGGCAGAGATCAGGAACTCTGTGGAAAAAGAAGTATTTGCAGGTCTAATTTTGCTGTAAGTACCTGAGATTTAATTACTGTATTTAGTCCACCTTCAAGATTAAACAGTAAAAATACATTTCAATAGTGGTTGACTCAAAAAAGTTAGTTTAATGGATGCAAACAGAGCTCTCATATTTAAGCATTCAAAATACTACTTTTTTTTTTTTAATTTACCTGTTGTCATGACAATTCCAGCAAGGACTTTTCGACGTGCATGTGGAGATGAGAAATTTTCTGTCAAATCACTGAATTTATCTACAACCAAGCGTGCAACAGCATCAGCTAATACCTGTAGAACCACACAGAAATGCACATTAAAAAAATAAAAAATAATTTTTAAATTACAGGAGCATTAAGTTATAAAGACTTACACTTCTAAATGATTGGGCAAAGCAAATGAAGTGAGTTTTTATTGTTCACTTTAAAAATTGACATTTAGGCATCCCTTGCATGTGGAAGCAGAGCTATGAGTGCTCCATGTCTATCAAAACAAGGTTAGACAATGCTAACTCAAGCACTGAAGTACCTAATGCTCATGATCCTGATGAACATTTGAGCCTTGGGAGAACAAATGGATAGACAGATAAGTCTATACTCTCATGCTCAAACCTCAAAACACATCATTTCAGTATCCTCACCATTGAGCCTGACAATAAGATTGAAGTAAAAATCCATGCCCCTCAAATGAACCTTTTATAACAAGCTCATTCCTTATCTAACTATTACATAAAAAGGGCAATTTTGTTTTCAACCCTAATTTAATGCTTCCTATGTCCTATTTTTACAAGGCTTATACAAAGTTAGGAATAGAAAATATTAGTGTATAATCCCAAATAAGCTATGTCAAAATTAGGAAAGATTTTGTCTTTCAGGAAAACTTGAGCAGTTACTTGGAGTCAGTCTATAAGTGGGGCTAACTTCTAAAAGGAAGGAAAACTTCAAAACAGCAATCCTGCTCCTGCTGACAGACAATCCAGTTCAGCACTGCAGCTAATCTCACCTGCAGTTTTCAAGGCAGCTGGAACTGTAACTGCTAGAAAAAAATGAGTCAAGACCAAATTCTTCAATTTTGACCTGAAAAGAAACTGAAGCCAAGGCAACCATGTGTTGTCAACCAGCAGCATCTGAGATGTTCTAGGTGTGCACACCTGGCCCACAGCTTCACACACCACAAAGACACAGGTATTGTGTCACACCCACCAGCACCATTCAGATGTTGAGTGAGGCACTGGAACAGAGAAGCTGTGGCTGCTCCATCCCTGGAAGTGTTCCAGGCCAGGTTGGACAGGGTTTGGAGAAACCTGGGATAGTGCAAAGTGTCCCTGCCCATGGCAGGGGGTGGGACTGGATGAGCTTTAAGGTCCCTTCCAACCCAAACCATTCTGTGATACAAATGTTAGATGCCCAAAGGAAAAAGGTGAAAGAAAAAAACAAAATAGAAAAAAAAGAAAAGAAAAAGGTTTGGAGACCACCAGCCCCATTCACTCCCATTTCCTTAACAAGGCTCATGAGAACCAACAGCCTAGAAATGATGTGGACGTGCTCTCAATGTTAACTTCCTTTTGGAAAAGCTTTAGCAGCCAAGAAATAACTAAAGCTTGGGTGTTAGGATCACAGAGCCTGACAGAAAACAATGACCAGCAGTCAGGTTCCAGCTGCACCAGCTTCACCCGTGTATTGCAATCGCTCCACTTGTACAATCAGAAGACTCTTGACACTGCAAATTTTCTTGAAACATTTGAATGGACTGCAACTCAGAAACTCCATGTATTTTTCAGGAATGCAATTTGGCTCAGAGCTCATGAACATGTCTAGTCAGGCACTGATTTTCAAACACAGCCTTTTTGTTGCTGGACCCAAAATTGGGTTATGGTCCATGTTCTGCCAGCACCACAACCATACAGCAAGAAATCTGCATTTAATTGTCCTAGCACTTACCTAATGCAGGAAGTTGAACTTTAAGGTAAATATACAAAAGAAAAGGCAAATAATTGAGCGTTTTTAGAATCACCCTGATCTTAGAAATGGAAAATTAATACACAAAAGGCTTAAATTATTAAACTCCCTGCAGCCATCAGGGCAGATTAGTGTATGCCAAGGCACAGAGTCCCCATTCCAGTGTTTTATCACTAGCCTCACTGCATAGCAATGGATACTTGCTTCCCAGTTGCAAATTTTATGCTCTCATTTCTGTAATCCATGTATTTTCTGCTCTATCCTACACTATGATGTGCAGTACATCATAAGATCATGCTGAATAACTTTGTGATGGAATATAGATACTACAGAAACATTATTCCAGACAGGAAGTGTTTCAGGTCACTTCCAACCCAAACTGTGCTATGATTCTCTGCCTAATGGACACTTCAAACCTGCTAGAAAAGGCTTGGCACCCAGAGAACTACACGATTCACCTTTTCTTAAAAAAAAAAAAAAAAAAAAAAAAAAGTGGTGGTGGGTGGTGCCTGGAGGAGTGTTCCCCAACACTGGGAACTGAACCTGCCATGTATTTTTAGGAAGGAATCCACGGCCACCTTGCCTGCTAATACCACTGACAAAAGGCTCCCTGAACAGCAGCTGGGTAGTAAGCCTGCATACAGGCTGGATCCATCAGCTTTTCCCACAAGGATCCTTTTCTTCACTTAACAAGCAAAGCAGAGGAAACTGTGGTGTTGGGAAAACAAAGGAGAACCCAGTGAGTTCCTCCAGGACGATGGAAGTTGGCACAGCAGAACTGGATGGAGCTTGGAACTAAGCTGCTGGCAAGGAAACCTAAAAATGCTTGGATGAACTTGCATCCAAGCCAGACACTGGGGAGGACTCATAAGAAGGACTAAGCAGAACTCAAACAAGACAAAATGAACCTTGGAGATGCAAACAATCCAGAATGAACTGGAGAGGAAGAAAATAAAAAAATCACTGCCAGAAAACAGGCAGATATAATTAAGATTTGTTATTTCTATTTGATATACAAATTATTGCATGACAACAGCTGAGCAGTGAGGAATAAACACTGTTAAATGCCTATAGATGTAGTCACTAAGATTTTGGTCTTTAAGAATAATCCCCCATGGAATTACAAGAATTATCATCTCCAAACCTTGGACTTGAAGCTGTTTCCACAGCAAGCCCAGGGCTTGCTGAGTGGCCTGAGTAGGGATCTTTCACATCACATTCTGACTCTACTGCCTTTCATATGAATAAACATTAATTGGAACAGAAATTGAACTCATGTCTCACCTTCCCTGTGAATGCTCTAAGATCTCACACACAGTTTCACTACCCCCGCTCCTGCATTAAATCATTATTCCAAGTTGAGTAATTCAAAAAAGGAAAGACCTAAAATAGCTGACAGTTGGTTCAGTAAGGCATGTGAGCTCCCAGTTATTTTGGGTGTGTTGTTCCCTTCTCTAATGAAGTCGCAGTGAATCCACTCCTTTTCTGCACAGACTGGTTTTGGTTAAACACAGCTGTTGCAGCAATGTTGTAGCACAACCACCATGGATCATTCACACTTGAAAATATTCTGGAGCTGATCAAGTTCAGGTCAATCTGGAGCTGAAGGAAGACCTTGGAAAGCCATGGAGACCACCCAAGATGAATGCAGGTGACCCCCTGAAGGGTAGGAAAGGCAGCAGCAATAGCTCACAGCTCTCACAGGAACTGGCCCAAGATGTCTCAGCCCTTTGTGCTCTCCCTGGATCTCCAGGGAGTAGAAATGTTCTCCCTTGGTTTCTTTTGTTTTTCTTATCTTCACAGTTTATGGCTTATGTGAACTTCCCACTGCAGGTAAAATCAACCTGATCCTCCCCTTTAACAGTGACCAGCACACACAATTCAGAGAAGTTTCCTGTAATTATTTAAAGAAACTTCTGCCTGATTGTAGAGCCTTTCACTGCTTATGCATCTTGCCTATTTCTTCCAATTCCACAGCAATTACTCCAAAATATGATTCATGATATTTCCATATTCAATAATATCTTTTTCTCAGGTCTGAATCCATCACATTCTTATTCTCCTGTATACACTAAGCAATCCATTGCAGTGAACTGCCTAGAATTCCTCTCCAGAAGCAGCTTTCCCAAATCTCCAATCATGTTCATAATTACTTGTGTATGTTTTATATAATTGAATAATTTTTTATACTTCCCCTCATCCCAGGTTGAACCAGGACTAAAAAAAGCACATCAAGTAGCCATTCAGTACTAGTTCTCACCTCATTTCTCCTGTTTAATGTTTTGTTTCAATGTCTGTCCACAACAACAGAAAGGATAAATTGAATTAGGTAAATGATTAAAAATACTCTAAGTGATGTTTTTCAAACTGATCTCATTTGCAGCTACACTGCTCATTTGTGTAGATCAACTTGCTTTCTCTCAAGCTTTCTAGTTTAAATAACTGTATTTAAACTTCAATGTGGACGATTTCTCTGCACACCTTGACTAATCAGTTATCTTTTTAAATAAACAGTTTGGGGAAATAACATTAGGAAAACTTCCATATCAGCTTTCTAACATAAGCCATTAGTGACCTGAAGAGATGATATCTCCAACCAGGAGGATCCCACTGTCTGATAGAAAACTTTTCCTGGAGTGACACCAGCAGCCTAGGCTGCTGAAGGTTTAAGGCATATACTGGGCAATTACTGCCACCAGTATGATCCTTGCTCAATTTTACTCCAGAGGATTTGGTACTGGCCTGAGAACTTCCTTCAGGGACAGCATCGTGCCATCTCTGACAGAGGTGTGAGACCCCTCCAGAGAAGGCCACCAAGATGGTCCAAGGGCTGGAGCCTCTCTGCTCTGGAGACAGGCTGGGAGAGCTGGGGGGAGAGAAGGATCCAGTGAAACCTTAGAGACCTTCCAGTGCCTGAAGGGGCTCCAGGAGGGCTGGAGAGGAACTTCAGGCAAGGGCCTGGAATTAAGAAGAGGGAATTACTTCCTACTGACAAAGGGCAGCATTAGATGGGATATTGGGAAGAAATTCTTCCCTGAGAGGGTGGTGAGGCCATCACACTGAGAAGCTGTGGCTGTCCCATCCTTGGAAGTGTTCAAAGGCAGGCTGGACAGGGCTTGGAGCAACCTGGAAGAGTGGAAGGTGCCTGTGCCCATGGCAAGGGGTGGGAATAAGATAATACTTAAGGTTTCTTCAACACAAGCCATTTTGTGATTCTATAATTTTTCTGATCAGTTCACAAAGCAGAGCTAACCATAAAAATATAATCTTTGTTTTGGAGAGGCAAGCACCTCTAATGCAAGTGTGACAATCTATTCAATACCAACACATCCACTGCCAAGGTGCTAAATGCACAACTGCTGAGTTTTTCAGTGGAACATTTTTACCCACTCTGAGGCACATGTTGAGTGTGTTCCTGAGCTTAACTCACTTTCCCAGCACAGAGATGCTCCCCACTGCAGGGAACCTTCCTTCACCCCTGACAACAGACCAAGCTGTGAGCAAGCAGACAAGCTTGAATTGAACCACATCACAGCACCTCGATAACCCCCTGTACAGACCATAAGATTATTCTCACACCCATTTCACAACACTCAATTTTTGATTGCAGCAACCCTCCTGCACCATTTGATGCTTTGCATGTGTGTTTCTGCATTTAACTCTCTTTGGGGTACCTGCAGCTCTCAGGAGATCTGTTGGGGTCACAGACAGACATCCAGCCATACTCACCACCACCACCACTACAGGGAACATCTCTCAGCTCCATTCTTCTCACTACAAATAAGCTACAGGCAGGTTTGGACGTGCCACCCAAGCAGTCAGTTCCAACATCTTCCTTGGCACAACCACACTACTTCTTTGATTTCTCCTAAGCAATTGGTATTTGAGTTTTTCCTCGCATCACATATTTCTAGCTTTCATTATTTCCAATCTGATCAACATTTTATTTTGTCCACTGGTTGTATCAAATCCTATCTTCATTTACATCATTCCTGCACTCTCCAGTCTTTGTGATTTCACCCACCTTAGGATTACCTCTGAATTTAACACCTTTTTACACAGTAAACAATGTCTAAAATAATTAAACAACTCAAAGACTTCTAAAAAAAGATAAATCAAGCAGGACCTGAAAACATCACAAATGCTTAAATCCTTAAATACATACCAGACCAAAACCACTAATTTTAATAAAAGACCCAACGTCATTCCAATAACAGCTAATTATAATTCAAAGCAAAGCAACACAGTGAAATGCTTGATGACATCCTGATGACAAGCTGATCAAAAGGCCCCGAATAAAAAAATTACTTGAAATTAGGTCTAAATGAGGCAGCACCCATGTAACATCTTTCTAGCTCAGCTTGGGTTTTTCACACTTCTCTCTTCCAGTTCCAGTTTTCACCATGTTACTGATGCAAGAACTATTAATACATTAATTACTAGTAGTGCGGTTTTTTTTGGTGTCTGGGGTCAAATCTACTTTTAAAAGCAGAGAATGCAGTCTGAAATCACTGAGTCTACTGAAGAAATTGTAACTACCCAAGCATGATCTTGGATTTGAAAACGAAGCAAACATTCATCAGTAACACAATAATGGTGCAACATTAAAATGAAACCATATAGAAAGTTCTAAAATACGCATATATTTTGCAGAAACAACGTACTTAAAATAGCCACATTTTCTTACACTCTTTGACCCCACATTATCAAAAAAGAACAGTATGTTAGAATTTTAATGAAATCTAGAACAATGGTTTTGAGATAGAAAAGGTCAAAGCTTTGAAATTCTCATAATAAACAAAGTTGGAAATGAATTTACAGACAAATATTTTAGTTTAGATGGGCATATATTTCATTAAAAAGACCCAAGAAATGCAGCAGAAAGACTTTAGTCAAACAATCATCAGTATAGTTTGACTGGGAAGAAACATAAACAAGAAAAGAGGGGAGAATTTTTCTGTATTAAAAAAAAATTCAAAATTACTCGATTCTAGTGACTTTGAATTTCTGATTTGTGTCTGGTACATTAGATACTTTCCCTACCTTTGATTTAAATTATTTCTCAGCCAGATTTACTTGCCTAAGTAACTTCCATATACATATTAATTCATTTGCCTAGAGCACAACCTTTCAGATGATAGCCATTTAACCACACATCCTGGATTCATGCACATGCAATGTGCTCACACCCTGGAAATCAGTGGCAGTTGCAACAGCCTCACTTAACCTGACCTTGACTTGCAACAACTTCTGTTTGCAGGAGAGAATTATTTTCTTCTCTGCTAACAACAGTTGTATCAAATAATAACTTCACTTAAAGCAGTAATTGTCACTTGAACTCCATCTAAGTCTTGCTGCCTGAGATGAGCAAGATGTGATTCAGTCTTTACCCAGCACAAACCGTAATTCAACCTGGCACTGGTGCTCTCTTACACAACACCATCAAGGCTGAAAGCATCAGAAACAAAACCTCTTCTCTGTGCAAGAGAACAGAGATTGTCAGCAGCTTTAACTGTATAAATCACCTAATACATATACACAGATATGTATATATATATATAGATGTACACATTTCTACAGAAGCAGAAATGCTGTTCAAACTGATTCAATACACGTGACTCCTCCTGGCCGTCACCCAAAGCTACCAACAAGCCCTGAAGGGTTTCTCACCTGTGGCAGGTGTAACTGGAGCCCCTCGCTGGGAATGGGCTGGCGAGATGGAGTCTGGTCCAGCTGCATGTTAAACAGGGATGCCAGGGCTGACTGAGCAGCCCGAGCTTTTGCCAGCTTTTTATTCCTTCCCGAGCCTTCGAAAGTCTGCCCGTCCACGGCCACGGCCATGACGAAGTTTTTGGCGTGGCTCTCCCCGCTCTCCGACAGGAACTCGTACTTGAGGCCGGGCCGCAGCTCGTTGAGGATCATCACGGGGTTCTTCCCGCTGGCCGTGGGGTAGGGGGAGGGCGGGGGCAGAGGGGACTGGGACAGGCTGCTGGCCACGGCGGACGATGGCAAGCCGTAGTCCCCGCCGGAGCCAAAGGAGCCGTCCCCGTTGGAGCCCAGGTAAAAGGAAGCGTCAGAAGGGACGGGGGTCTCAAAGCCGTTGAAAAGGGTGTCCGGGAAATCGGCCTGGTCGGACGTGAAGTCTGTGTTGACTGACAGAGTCCTGCCCATGGCCAGGTGGGCTTCCGAGGCGTTGGGGAACTGCACGAAGGAGCGCAGGGCCTTTTCGGCGGCGTGAAGCTTGGCTTTCTTTTTTGTTGGGCCAGACCCCTCAAACACCTGCCCATTGACTTCCACTGCCATCACAAACATGGGCGCGTGGACCGGCCCCGTCTGGGAGAGCAGCTTGTACTGTAAACCGGGTTTAATCTCGTTCAGCTGCATCAGGGCGTTCTTTGGCAGAACGGGGCCGGGCGTTTTCTTCCTCTTCTTGGGGCGGAATTTGGAATTGTTGCCCTCCTCCAGAGGTCTCTTCCTGCTGCTGCTGCCACCGCCGTTGGAGAGCGGGGTCCCCTCCCCGGGCCCCTGCCCGGCGCTGTCCTTGGGGGGAACGTTGTCCACATTGCGGTTTTCTTTAATGTCGGTGCTGCTCGAACCTGCGGTGCCCAGAAAGAGTAACTTACAATGCCTTCGGTGCAGGACCTTGTAAATGCAAAATTTATAGATTCCTTTATCTCTCTTTGTAACTGGTTAAGTGATGTGTGCTCGCAAGTTAAATATTTTTGCGATACAACCGGGGATGATGATAATGTAACGCAACACCTCAATAATCCAACAAATAACACATGCAATCTTCAAACCACACACTTGATACAACTGCACAGCAAAAATCACTACAACTTCTTTTTTTTCATTTTAATTATGCTGGAACAAAACTTTTGAGTTATATTTACCTCAAAAATGCTTTAAATCAACAATATAAGCTATAGCAACATACGCCCACAAAACAAAGTTACCATTAGCAAAGTAAAAATTGACACCTAACAGCACAACTCTGAGTCAGATATTTAATCCTATTTTATTATCAGTTTAGTCATGTTATTTTTTTCCCTGCAGTGATTTTAGTTGCTTAAATTGAAAAACTACATTAAAAAAACCTTTGTTCAGTGCAATGAAAAATTAGGCAGCTCTTTGGTAGGTACCATGACTGAACTATTTGAATGCCTATTCCTAGCTATTCCATATTTTTCAAATTCAGTGCTTTTTTTTTTTTCTTTTTCCTAAACATTCACTTCACCAGATCCCAATTTTCTCAGAACTACAGCTGCCCACTGTGCCAGCAGGACCACAAGACTGTATATTTCCACACAGTCTTCTATTAAAAAAATCTCTTATCTACAAGCATAATTCCTTGTCGAGAAAACTGCTGTCATGGAGTTACAAGCACAAAAATGACTAGAGCTCCTCTCTAAGGCTATGTACAATAGAAGTGTGACAAAAACCTGCACACTCACAGTGATATTTTAATGAGAGGGCAGGGAAGACAATATAATATCAATTTAATGTTTTGGTTTCAAAAATATAAGTTGGGGTAATGATATGTCAGAGCTATATATAAGGAATTAAATTTGCTTTAAGTTCAAAGACCTCATTTTCACCCTGATAAAGAAATTAAGGAAAATAACTACTTGTGCTTTCTACTGGCATTTATGAATGAAAAGGCAAATGTAATAGATCATGTATTTTTAACTCCTGTTCCAAACCTTCAGTATATCTGTATTACATCCACACTGATCCAAGGTGGTAAATGGTCATTGAAATTAGAGCAAACCAGGTGGAAGCTCTCTTTCACAGTGACAAATTCCAGTCTTCCCTAAGAATCCCCTACCATGCACACATCACTTCGCCCAGGTTACAAAGCTGATGGAATGGTTACTAAATTTTCATTTATAACATCCTCCAGCAAAAGCTCGATAGGTTACTCCTTTCGGTGCTCGAAGAGAAAAAAAGGGAAGGGAAAAAAAAAAAAGATCAAAAGAAAAAGCCAAAATAGGAACACATTTCATTAAATCACAGCAGCACAACAAAGAATTGTACAGTACTGATCATGCAATTAAGCCAATAAAATTCAGTCAAAAATTGAAATTCTGAAGCATTTCATTGCTAGAAATCTGTTAGATTTAATCAAGTATCTCTTGTTCAGCAACAAACATATTGCCTGGAGAATGAAGGCTACAGGGCCACAACTGTCAATACACAGTGTTCATGCACATGTTATTTATAAAAATATATATTTATGGTGGAGGAATCTAAGGACAATGAAGAAAACTTTTAAATCTTTCCTTACAGTGAGTTTCTTACATCTCATCTAAAACACCATTTCTGGAACACTGCCCTTCCTGGTGGCACCAGGTATTTGTTATCACCCACCAAGACTTTCAGGATAAGCAGAAATCATTGAGTTAAGACTAATTAATGGTCTCTGGCTTCATTTCTTTTTATATGAAAACCATTACCAGTGCCTGTGGAAACCACAGAAGGAAAACAGGAGATGATTAGACTCCAACCAAATATCAAAAACTTCTGCATATAAGCATGGCAGCTGGAGGAACTCCCTTATCAGGCTGGGGAAACAATGTCCTGACAGAGAGGAGGGACTTGTAGGGAGCAGGAAATAAACCCACAGGCTTACCTTGTCTCATTCAGAGAGAAGGGAAGAAAACTATTCCTGAGAGCTACTAGGCTTTGTTAGCTTTGGAGAATCTGCAGAGTGGAAGAAACTTGGAGAGAAAAAATGTAGGGAGCTGATCCTGAGTCAAACCAAGAGACCATGAAAGGAGGTAACTGTGAAGATGACCCAAATCCAAGTTTGTGATGCAAAGTGAAAGACTTTTTGTGCAAAAAAAGGACCTATACTTGTTTAAACTCACAGAGTTGCTGGACTGCAAGGACAAGTCCCCCTCTCTCAGACCAAGGGTGTGCTTTTGGTCCTTTTGTCAGCTTGTCCAGCCCAGCAGTGCTGAGGCCCTCTAATTACCTGAGGGCTTGGGAATATTAGTCAAAACAAAACCTGCTCAAGTCAGAGATGTCACCTCTAATCTTGTCCATGTTCAGACATGGAGTAACTCCTCCAGCCCAGCCCCTCCCTGGATACCTCTTTCAGGTGTGCCACCCCTTCCAGGGAAGTTAGCAATGACCCTCCTGGTTCTTGCTCCCATGCCCAGTTCCCCACGTGTGACAGGGCCACCACCAGAAGCCAGGAGAGGGTATCACAGCAGGACAGGGACACAGTGACCCTCCCCAGGACAGCCTCGCAGCTCTGGGCTCTCCCATGTGCGTTTTTTTCCCCCCTCAAAAACAATTTTCTAATGGATTTTAAAGGTCCCATAAAGCCATGGCATCCACGATGTCTTGAGCAAAGTGCTTCATCACTTCATTACAACTGGCATGAAAACATCTCCCATTGCTTTCTTTGATCCTCCACCTGCTACTCTTACTGCATCTCCTGGGGTTTATTTGCTGTTTTTTAAAGTTTGATGGTTCTAATACTAAACACTCCATGTTGTGCATGACGTCTCAAATATTTCCAATCTTTAAATTCAATTTTTCAATTTTTAGAGAGCCCTTTGCAGTCCATCACGTCTGCTGTGTATTTAGGTCTTTAAAGCAGCATTAACACATACAGAAACACTTGATGATTGAGATCCAGTTTTCTTAAACATTTATACAATCCATGATTTAAAAAGTGGATATTTTTCATGAGATTGGTGTATTTTCTAGCCATTAAAAATAGCTGGCAGCTTATGTCTGTGGAGGCAACCTTAGTAAAAAATCATAGCTGACACTTCAGCAGAAGGACAGTCCTGCCCTCCAGATTTCATTTGAATGCTTACAAATCCAAGAACACTCAAAGTAGGAAAAAGATATGGGAATTTTTCATGCCAGTAAAAAAATAAATCTTCTGTCTGGACATGTTGGTTTATTTCTGTGTTTATTCCCTGTAATTAAAAAGCATCTGCCCTTAAGATGCTTTATCCATTGGGGACCTTCCATTACCTGCCTGCTGAGAGACAACACTCCACCCCTCCAGCTCTGTCTTATCTGGAACACAATTAATTAAATTTAGATGAGTCTTAACTGAACCAAAACATGGTTCCAGCTACCCCTTACATGGCTGCTCTCATCTAGTGGCCTGGGGAAATTCTAAATAAGTCATTTTTTTCATTTAAAAATAAGCAGAAAAAAAACACGTGCTCTCTTCAGAGCATCTTGCAGAAAAAGGAGCAAACAGATGAAAAAGAAAGGTCAGGAGAGTCACATGCTTGTGTTCACAGTGCTGCAGACACACCAACCTTGCAAAGCAACAGAAAACAAATAAAAACATTCTAAATAACCATCTCTTTCCCCAAATATCTTGTAGCATCTCAATGACCAAAGGATAAAGAAGGAAAACACTAAAAATTGAAGTCTGAAACAATGGTTTCTCAGGGATATTAATTTATTAATGTAAGACATCATCACTGTCTTATATTTCATCTGAACCAAAAAAACCAAATCCTCTTAATTCTGGCTTCTGCAGAGGAATTCTTGTTATGCAACCACAGGCTGCAAAGACTGCATAGCTCACCTTCCTTTCCTTTAAGAACCTTTCCCCAAAAGCAGTTACATAAAATAATAAAATATTTAATAGGTAACTTCTAATATGCCACTTCACAATTTTAAGAGCTATAAAAGAGATAAAAGGTTAAAAAACATAGCTCTACACAAATCAAAGTAAAGAACTTAAGAATTTAAACTTTGATTTCTGATCCCCCAAATGAGATGATTTAACATTTCAAATTCATGATGTTTGCATGGGCACAAAAAGGAAGATCATCTTGTACTTTACATGAACTGGGCTCAGCCAAGGTTCTGACATCTCAGAACTGAAGTTATACAAATGCATTCCCTAAACAGTTCCATGGAGCCAAGCTCCTGACAAAATAACAAATTCCTTGAATGGTTTCCCATATTGAGGCACTAACACACAAAAAAACCCAGAAGCAAGCAAAAATTTAGTGTTTTTCTCAATTAAAGAGATTGTAATTCTCCAGCTCAGGAAGGCACCTTCTATTCATGCTCAGCTATACCATTATTGAGAAAAGGGATGTTTCATCAAAAATATTATGAGAATTATCCAATTACACCTTTAGAAGGCCTCTGTAGGGAACTCAACTTTAGAAACAGTTAAAATATCAATTTGTAGTAACTTCTTATATATCAAGGAGAAGAAAATTATACCAAGCATATTGCAGTTGAGTTCACTGTTTCACTAAAGAAAAAATATTAATTCTAGTTCAGGCAATACTTTTCACTTTGGTTTGGGTTTTTTTTTTTTTTTTTTGGAGGGGGAGGATGTTTGTTTTGGGTTTGATTGGTTTATTTTAACACTAAAACTTCCTCATCTCCCTCTAAAATAGTTCTGTAACTCCTCCAGACTGAACTACAACTCTTCTGCTCCAAAGCTATTGCTGTGCTTTGTCACCTTTGCCAGATGCACTCTTTAGCCACTGTCACTTGAGGGAAAAAGAAGCACATTTGTTAAAACATAATGTACGATTATTTACAGTCAGGCATAGCACAGCCACAACAGAACAATCCTCTGAGTCACCAAAAAAAAAAAAAAAGACAGCTGAAAAGCAAGTAAGAGCAAAAATATTGTAGAATGGTTCAATGATAATGCTTTTCTCATAAGTTATTGGATCTTAATTATACCCCAGAGTTAGCAGTCTCACACATTTGGGTGCATCAAGATGACCACTTTATTTGTGATTTATATGTCCTTTAAAATCACTTGAATAATTCAGTAGCTCAGGGTTGGGACAATCAGCATCTAAAGAGAATAATCCACCCATGTAAAACCTACACAGAGCTTTTCCAGCTCCTACTTGGCTTTTTCCTTTCTTCTTTTCTCTCTCCTTTATATTATTCTCTTCAACTCCATCTCCTTCATCTCACCCCTCATTCCTTACTGGTACTTAACCTGGCTTGGGCTCTACTGGTATTATCTATCCATTCTTCACTTATGGTTCAAGACAGGGAAATATTTTGATTAGTCAGCTGCTGTAAGAAAAATATAAAGTATAATACAGAAGGTATAACCATATTAACATACTTAAAATATTGTTAATGCAAAAGCTCCAATTAGTTCTTCTTTACTACATTTTAAACCATTATCATTTCTGAATCTGAAGTTTCTTTGCATCCTGTGCCTGGGAGAAAAAATTATTTTCAGAAACGATTAGAGTTATTACTATGCAAATAAACACATCTTACTCATGTTTTCTTCATCGTCTACATCCATTGTGAAATATCTTTGCTGGTTCCTTGGCTGGCAGAGACGGCTTCTGTCTGGAAAACAGGAGGGGGATATTTAGGCTTTAAGGTACCAACTTACTAGGTCGAGTTTGAACTGTCCTTTAAAAGCAGCAGCCTGGGCCCTGGTCTGGCATTGGGCTGCTTGGGTAAATCCTGGCCAAAGATCCCTCCTAAAACTGAGATGCTCATCAGTGACTGGAAGATGCAGCCCCAGTCTGCCAAAGGCCACAGTGGGATGATGATGACCACAGCGAGATCTTCCCACAGTCTCCTCCAGGCTGAACAAGACAAGTGCTCTCAGCTGCTCCTTCTATGGCTTCACTTTATTCATAACCTTCTTTGGACAATCTCTAATAGCTCCATGTCTTTTTTATATTGTAATGCTCAAACCTGTCCCCAGGTTTTGGACACTACTAAATTGGAAGGAGGGGGGTTCACATTTTTCATTTCAAGAGAGGCTCCTGTCTTCCTTAGCAGACACCTGTCTTTGAAACCAAGACACTAATTTAAGTGGAGCCAAGAAAAAGTACACTTTTAATCCGCTGCTGGTTTAAAAGTCTTTAATTCCTATAGAGTATTTCCAAAGATAGGAAGAACATCAGAAGTTCTTAAAAATACAGCAGCCAACACAACAGAATTTGCTCTTATTTCCACAGGAGACAGCTTGAGAGATGTTTAGGTCAATGTTAGCTATAGGAAGTACACAGCACTTGAGGACTTAGAGATAACCTGCATTTCTTGTCTGAATATAAACTGCATGCAAAAAAGAGTTGTGAAAGACCTCTAGAGTTATCTTGGTTTATTCTCATTACTGAGAGAAAACCTAAATATGTCTTGAAAGGGAAATTTAGCAGCTAACAACACTTTACATGCAGTGAACAGCATATATGCAAAAAAATCCCATTAACCTGATAGATGACACAGAACTATTAGGAAATAGTGTAAGTCAGAAAGCTGCAGTTTTAGAGAAGTTCCCTATTTGTTAAAATGCCCTCTTCTTCCAAACTTTGAAAGTCAAGTGAAACAAAACATTGGGAAATCAATCTTGCTCCAAGTATTTCTAACAAATTGGATTTCTTATGAATCCAAAGTGCAAACACTGAAGTTGCACTTAGCAAAAAGGTTCAAACCTCACCTGAAAACCACGTTTACAACACCATCACCTCCCCTTCACCAAGTCCTTTGTTCCTGCATTTAAATGCAGCAATTAAAGCCCTACCCTTCCTCTCAGATAGCTTCATCCTCCTGTGTTTCCAGTGCAGCCCCTGGAACCCTGGAGTGCACTGATGCACAGCCCAGTGAACACAGAGGAGTGAAGGATGCAGCTCACCCTTAGCCACTGCCAGAGGCACATGTGACAACTGACCCTTTGTCACACACAAGGGGCAAGGAAAGACAGTTCTCTTAGAAGGACTAAATCAAAAACACCCTCACTGCTAGGTGTTGAAAGGCACAATTAATTTTATTTTGTTATTAATAAAGGATAATAATAAAGTCTTCAGTCTTGTAGCTCAGAAACAAGGAGAGACAAAAACAAGGAAATATTAATACAGCCTAGTGCATGAAACAAGATGCTCTCAGCATCCTTTACAGCTGTTTTCTCATGTTCCCATTTCATACACTGCCTCAAAAGGCACAGAATGTATTTGGAAATAGCAGGAATACCTAAATACACCAATCTCAAATATACTTTAGTCACAGATTTTCCATACAAGGATTTCTATCGGGCCTGACCAACATGACCTGTGGTATTCTCCAGCCTTTTCATAAAGTAAAAAGTAACATGTGACATTATGGGATAATGTGGTACCATCCTGTTTCCACATCTGAGTGACCAACAAACATCTGTTGATCCTGTAGATCCTACAGATCATCAGCACAGGCTGAGGGCTGCAGCTACCCTTTAATCCTACCCTCAGATTAAACCTCACAGGACAAAAAAGCACCTTCCAGCAGGGAATGCCTGCAGGGGCAAGGGTTCCTTCAGTCTGTTACTACAGTGATGAGACTTCTCTGACCAGTCACCTCCAGCTGCTCTCAACCTTTATTTCTCAGTACATCAGGAACACAGCACTAGATGATGTCTGGTAGATAATTTACATGCACCACCATATTTTGACAACTATCTAGGCTGGCATTTTTTGAAAAAGATTGCCACTGGCATTTGAACTCAGCAGTACTTCACTAACCAAACCCAACATGCTCCAGCTCACCACTGGAACTGGGCTGATGTGCTAACAAGGAGCTCTACACACTGGCACTCATTCCCCAGGTCCCAGATAACAGCTTTTCTATCTCCAGACCGTGGTGGAAAGCAGAGATTGAGTGACTGTAATTATTTTTGTCTGAAGCCCAAACATTAAAAGCTTCCAACTTCCCCATTTCAAAGGAACTGAAATTCTACTTGACCATCCATGTTATTAGACACCACTTCTCTGAGAAAGAAGAAAGAGCAACAGGATCATTTGAGCTCAGTTGAAACAATTTAGAAAGAAGAACTAACCATGGAGGAACAAGCCATCAATGCAATAGTCATGCCACAGTCACACGCTCAGGAGAAAAATGAGCCCCATCTAAGAACAACTTCCCAAACCAGTGCTGTGCCTACACAGCTTTGAAGGAACAGCAACACTGACAAAGAGAGAAAGGGAAAAAATACCCCTCAGGGGGATGAGAATTCATTTAGCATCTTTGAGAAAACAGCACAGTTTGTAAAATGCAAAGAGCTGTCTGCAACTACTGTGCTCTTTACCATAATTCCTTCAGCTGCTCAAATTTTCACCACCTGCTCAGCACAGCCAAGAAAGAGAAACATAACCATGTGTATTTCTCCTTCCTTCTGGGGAAGGAGTTGCTGCATTAGCTATTTGAAGTCAAAACTGATTTTGCTTTGAATAATTACTTTAACTGCCCTAACCCATGAGAGATTTGATTCACAAAATTTGATGGGAAGACTGAAAAGAGACTTCTTTAGGTCACCTTTGTAGCTCTCCTCCCCAAAGCAGCTCTTAACTCTACCAACCTCTGCCCCCCATGGCAGTGACTCTGGGGTATGACACTCAGGAAGGAGCCCAAGACAAGGCCTTGAAGGATGACAGTTCTGAAGAGAGAAAAAGGTCTCTAAAATCTGACTGCTGTCCAAAGAACATACACAGTGCACTTGGGAGAGAAACTTGGTGATCCACTGTGTAACATGAAGAGTTTCAGGAAATAAAAAACGGAACCAAAGAACCAAATCACAGACCTGTGGTTTGAGTTGGAAGGGACCTTTAAGCTCACCTCTTTCCAGCCCTTCCACTAGACCAGGTTGCTCCAAGTCCTGTTCAACTTTGCTCTTGAACAATTTCAGTGATGGGGCAGCCACAGCTTCTCTGGGCCTCACCACCCTCCCAGAGAACAATTTCACTTTAACTTCTAACCCAAATCTCTCCTCTTATAGTTTAAAACTATTTCCTCTTCTTTTATTACTATCTGTCCACATGAAAAGTCACTCCCCCTCTTTTTTGTAAGCCCCCTTTAGGTACTGGAAGGTTGCAATGAGGTCTCTCAGAGCCTTGTCTTCTCTTCTCCAGGCTGAAGAAGCCTGTAATAACCAATCTGTAATATGTATGAAATTAAATACTCAATATCCTTAAATATATTGTGATGTCTGCATGGTTAGGCAAAAGCAGGTTGAAAACCAAGTGCAAGGAAATAAATGCTGCACACAGAACAAAACTATGACATTCAGTGCTAATGTGTGTGCTGGAAGCAGTAAATCTCACAACATTTTGCATTTCACAGATCTGACACCCACTGAGGCATCCAGGAGAAAATGGGCTGCCTTCTCTCCAAAGAAAAAGCAGCTCCCAGGTGGAATTTGGGATCTACCCATCTCCAACACTCCCATTTCACCTGCATCACTGAACCAGGAATGCAGAGACATTGAACAACTCAAGCATATCCCACCAAAATCCCAGAGGTAAACTAACCCAGGTGACATCAGAAGCAACACAACAAGATGATGGAAAACTTCAGCATCTCCTCAATTCTCCCCTCTGCCACCTTTGCTCAGGGGAACACAGCCAGGCTATTTTTCCATGGATTTATTATTATGACTTGTGATGGAGTTTTGTGAAGAAGGGTTTGTGAGCCCAGCTTAGAGACCCTGCAGCTGTGGCATCTCTAGTCCCTTCCCATCAGGTCCCCTGGCAGCAGAAGGCTCGAGGCCATGATGCAGCCCCTATTTTACATATATATATATAAAATATATTTAGATACATCATGCATCACATGATAATTTTTTTCTACAAAATCTCCATGCACCAAAACACCCTTGAAAATCTCGTTTACTTATAGATTTGGCCCCTATTATCAGCTTACTTTACATATTCTTTGAAGAAATACTCATACACTGCATTCTGTAAGTACTTTTAAAGATTTTTTTTAAATTTTTTGCTCCCACAAGCAAGTTGGATATTTTTCAAGCACAAGGACAATATTACAGGCCAACAGCAATTTTCCTGTTAGTTTTGTGTACTTCAGCAAGAATGAATATAAATTAGCATCAACTAGCTCTGATATATATCTCATACTGGAGTTTATTGGTCAGTTTGGAGCTATTCCTCAGGTGATTAAATCCATTCCAACAGCACCATCTGCTGTTACATAAATAATTGAGGTTACATCTATTGTTCCCTCGACCAAGGAAGTTTAGAGCTCTGCTCCCAATTAGAAATAACTTATGATGTTTGCAGGTTTATTCTTTTGTCTCTAACCTTCTTGCCAGATTACTGTTAGGACTGAACATCTCATTTTTAAGATTTTTTTTTCTGAAGGACTCCTCAAGTACCTGTAACTGTCAGAAATGTATTGATAATGTGCTACCGAGGCAAAAGTGGTAACTATTCAGAGAGAAAAACTGAGCAGCCCAGACGTCCCAGTAAGTAAAATTAGTATTTTCAACATCATTTAAAAGATAACTGATACAGCTATCCAGTGTTTAGGAAAATAATAGCTAATTGGAAGAGAAATCTAAAATAGTTTTAAAGGAGGTTAAAAGAGACTCAAATGTCTTGAAGCTATTTCATAAAAAGAAAAAAAAAAACAGTCATAGAGGTAGGCTGATGGTTGGGGTTAGGAGATAAACTTACAATTTGGGCTTATTTCCTCTTTTCCCACCAAAATCAGTTACTAAGCTTTGCTCAAACACTCTGCAAACTCTCAAGTCATACAGGCCAGCTCTGCCTATTGGCTTTATTACTATGTCTTGAATACAAATTTGCACCCAGAAGGGTAACTAAGCTTTTGTAGTATAACTTCATAACCAATATCCTCTATTTTCAAGCTGCTGATCCGATAACTGTGAAGGGATTTAAAATCCAAACATAAATAAAAGTTATAGATAAAACAATGAAGTACTAAATAACATTAAGATGAAATCTCTCCTCCTCCAAGTTCTGAGCCAAATGCATCAATCAGAAAACAGAATCCTGCTCCACGTTTGCAAATACAGTGTGCTTACCTTTTTAGCTATTGGAGACACATGCTGATTCTGCAACCTGCAAGAAGAGGAAATCCAGTCAATTGCTTGCTTCTTTAAAAATTTGTGCATTACAAATAGCAACTCCTGACCTTACAAGGGACAAATTTCCGATTCTCTAAAAATAAATAGTCCATATTACAAATACACAGTCTCAGAGTCAAGTCTTTTGTAACCCTAGCAAAGATCATTCTGGACATTCCTGGTTGGAAAAAAAAATTTAAAAAAAAAAGAAATCAAGACTCAAGGCGCTTAATATTGGGGGTCAAAAGAAACATCCCCAGGGTACAAGCAGTTATGCTGCAGAACCCCATCTGCAATCTCTGCACCTTCTAGAAGAGAGGGTCAACATAAATGTGGTAAATAATGGTTGAAAACCAAAATAAACATGTGTGCTATCACAGCCAACTTAGCCTGAAACAAATCCAGAGTTCTCACCTTGTTAGATATTTTTTAAATTTAGATGGTTTTATTTTTAGGGATTGATTTTAATCCATATAAAAGGCTCCTCACACAACAACTCCCTTTCCAAACACCACTGTTGATCCCACTGACATCAGACTGCATTCTCCTGCAAAACAGGAAAATCCCTCAACTACGAGCAGTGGGGTGGAAAACAACTGGCAGATGTAGGGTGAAATACACACACTCCCATTTTCAAGGTCTCTTCTAACCCAAACTGTTTTGTGATTCTGATTCTAAGGGGGATACAGGATGATAGGGATGCTGTGAGTAATTTTATTTCCACGAATGGGCACAGCTGTTGGATCAGGAACAGACAGCTTTAATTTAACAAACAGCCTTCTAGCTCTAAAAAAAAATATTGATGGGGCCTTACCAATGTGAAGATAAGACTGTTCTAAAACAGCACCAAAATCACAGTGACACAGCCCACGAGAGGGTGCTGGTAGCCTGCAGAAACCTTCACTGAATTCTAGTTACACAGAGCACAGCTACACAACACAACCCCAGGGCTGCTCATCTCGGGGCTTATTGGTCAAAAAGGGATCTGACACAATATTTTAAGTCCATAAACTACCATAATGCATCCATTTGATCCTAGGGTTTTTTTTAAGACTTCAATTTCTTTTTTTAAAGATTTCTATTTCCCAACACTTTATGGTAGCACCTTCCAATAAAAAGATTAATGTAAATACTACATTGGTCTTAGCATAAAGCAGGAAAAATGCTCAGAATAATGAGTTCAGAGTCAAAGCCCCAGCCTAGCACTCCCATATCCACAATAAAACCTTCCAAACTCTTGGAATGTGAGCAATAAATAAGGTGTGATGTGAAAGTCCCATATTTGTGGCAACAACCACCAAAAATCTGTTTTAAAAACAAGGTTTTGATAATTCTCTTCCAATGTGAGCACTGCTTAAAGTTACAATTAATCCTGAGAAAATACACTGCTAATATTTTAAACTAAGTTTTTATATTAGTATATCCTTGAATTAATTTAGATTTCACATTATCTTCCTTACACACAACATTATTCCAGTCAGTAATTCCCTAACAAACTAAAAACAATCCATGAAAATTGAGATTAAGTTTACCACTGAGTACCAAAAGTCCTTACATATTGACAACTGCAATGAGTTTTACAGAGAAAGAATGAGCCAGGGTTAAGAACTAGGAAAAAAGAAAAAAACTTATCTTAGTAATTCTTTTTGTTATACTGTGAGCAGTAAAGACAGGTGGAGGAAAAACTGAGACTTGTAACACCTTAAACCAGTAAAAACACTAAACAGCAAAGGAAGGGAAATATCACTATGTCATAAAAACCAGGAACAAAATTCTGATCTTCAGCATGTCCTGCCTGGCTCTGTCCAGTGTCAAATGAAGTTTTGGGGCTTATCCAAGCCATGGCATGCTTCCCCAACACCTTCTGCAGGGAGAGCCTGCCAGAAGGGGCTCCTGTGGGAGCTCAGCACTTTGCCACAGCATCTCGATATTCTTATCTTGCAAAAAATACAATAAACCAATTCTTTGTCCCTTACTAGTGAGTTAATTTACCATAAAAAGCTCAGAAACATGTTCACGATTTCTCCCCGAGCAGCAAAGGATACTTGAAAATTATCTTTAGAACACAACATGTTGGCTGTTTAGGAATATCTTCAAATATTAACTTGTTAAAGATCAGCTAAAATTATTTCAAGGCAATGAGAATCAAAACAGATATCTGAGGTACCACCTCAGGACATAAACCTGCAAAAAACACCCAAACACAAGGCAACAACCTGGAGGCACTCATCACTCAGCACCACTCCTACAGTCAGGATAAAAACCACCACTACCAACCTTTCTGTATTTACTTTCCTATTTATTTTACTTCTCCTGTGTTGGAAAAAAAAAAAAAGCAATCTGCTGAAGCATCTCAACTGCTGATGCATGACAAAAATCACAGGTATGTTAAATCCAGTGTTGAGTAGTTTGGGCTATAATAGTTTGGGAAGGGCCCTTAGAGCTCATCTCAATACAACATCCTGTCATGGGCAGGAACATTTTCCACCACTCCAGGATACTTCAAGCCATGTCCAACCTGCCCTTGAACACTTCCAGGGATGGGGCAGCCACAGCTGGACAACCCTCACAGGGAACAATTTCTTCCTAATACCTAATCTAAATCTCTCTTCTCTTAGTTTAAAACCATTCCCCCTTGCCCTGTCACTATTTGCCTTGGTAGAAGTCACTCAGGGAATGTGAGAAAGAGATGCCTTCAAGGAAGACTTTGCTCCTGATGCCAGCTGCAGGAAAAGTTTGAGTTTAACAAGTGTTAGGACAATGCTCTCAGGTACATGGTGGGATTCTTGGGGTGTCCTGTGCAGGGCCAGGAGTCAGACTCCATGATCCTCATGGGTCCCTTCCAAGTCAGGATATTCTGTGATTGTGACATGACATGCTTTTTCATACATTAGGCCATGAGTCTCTGCCATAAACACAGTTCAAAAGTACAACTACAGAACTCTGTTTTCCTCTGAAAACATTTTCTATCTAAATATGAACAAACAATTTGACATCTGTGATGTACTTCAGTTTATCAGTCTGAATTAAAGAAATAATGGCCCAAATCAAGTCCACAGTCTCTACAGCCCTTTTGAACTGTTTATTTAAAATTCTAAAGTAAATTAAGAAAGACTAGCCACTGAGCATCAAAATGGAAAAAAAAAGTTTAGGGAAAAAAGGACATGTTGCAATTGGAAAAAGTACAGTTTATACATGACACAAGCTGTCAAATGCTTCTCCCTCCCTTGATATAAAACAAAGTCCTTTTGAACTTACAAACAAGTACTTTTTATACACAAGACACTGAAACAAAGTTCACTGACACTTCAAAAGCTATGAAAATTCAGCAGCTATTAAGCAACAGGAATCCATGGATAAAATAAAAAATGCTACTTCATCAAGTAATATCCAAGCTTTTACTGCAGGAATCAAACAAAAGTATATTATCATTTATTCTAGAACACAATTATCCAAAAAATGTTAGAGAAGAAACACAGTATTTTTCAAACATTCTCTCACCAAAAATGTTTTCACATATTTGCATTGTATCAGCAAGATACTCTTCACATCTAACTTCTAATTTTCCCATCTCCTGTGTTTGGAAAATTATACCCACTGGTGTTCAGGTACATTTGGCATGCTAAAGCCTGAATACAAAATTTTAATAATGAAACATTATTTCAAAAATCAAAGGTTTTAATTCCACTCCTCTTTTTACAGAATCATCCCATGTATAAGAGCAGTTACCTTAGAAGAGAACGTGATTGAAGTCAAAGGAATTATTAACATGAGCAAAATCACCATAAATGCATTCAGGGGAGCTTAGGCTTTAATCTTGTTGTCTATGATTTCACTATTGCTAGTGTTTAAATATTTACATTACTCATTTAGCTGCTTTAAACATTAGTCAAACTGAAACAGTCCAACAGTGCAACCTCCAGACTAAGCAGCAGCTTTTAAAAGGCAACAGAACTTAAGAAATCAGTTGTAATTTCTCTGATTGGTATTAATAGCTTTGAGACAACATCTAAAAAAGAAAAATAGGTTATTTTTTACTACAGACAAATTGTGGACAAGAATTTAGGCTACAGGAGGAGCAGAGACAGGACAACCCACCCATCCCACCACACTGACCAATTCTGACACTGGAAGATGCCCCACTTTGGAGAAGATGCTGCTGCACCAACTGATAAAACTGCTGAAAGCTCTTCTTAATGTTACAGTGATCAACCAGAGTTTTCAGCTTAACACATTAAAAAAAATACCTGTAAAACTTCCTTCAAGCTTGTTCTACATACGTACAGCACCTACTAGAGGAATGCAAATCTTTCTTCCTTTGAACAGCAGTGGTATTTTCCAGCCTTCATAAGGCAGACTTGATTATTTTCAGTCTTACTCCCACCCTAGGGCAAAGATTAGATGCATGTGAACACTTTGTACCTTGCATTAGTCTTCAGAAAAATGCCTCAGAAATCAATGTTAAATAAAAGATGCCAAAGAATTATCACTCAGTTTAACTGTGTTTAAACCCTTGAGATTATGTTGTGCATTAAGGACATGTAAGTGTCTTCTCTGGCTGTTACCATGGGAAGTCACTCTCCACAGTCCTTAAATAAAGTTGATTGTTTCAGGAGTGCCAGAACAAGGTACTTTATACCCAGTCCTCTGCTTTTAAAGACACGTTGGGATGGCTGTGCCACTGCCTCCAGCCTCCTGGTGTACCAAGAGATTGCTGACAAAGCTGGGAAACAGACTGGGAATCAGCAAGGGTGGGATGAAGCATACTGAGCCATGCCTGCTGTGATACACCCTTCACTGGGAGCTCCCAGACCAAGAATCAATGTGATTTATTGCTGGATTTAAAAGCAGAACACTGAGAGAGGCCAAGTGTTACCTCTCAGCACCCTTCTCCTTCACTCAAATCCTTGCCTGAAGTCCCTTTCCAGCTCTCTTGGAGCCCCTTCAGGCACTGGAAGGGCTCTAAGGTGTCCCTGGATCCTTCTCTCCTCCAGG